ATTTGATGCTAAACAATTTAGTGGAAGTCAGGTTATATGATTTATCCAGTTAGCGTTTGGCTTATCATAATTCTCCCTTGCAATAACTTCAGCTTGTACTCGTGCGCAGCAGGAGCAGACTAACCTTCTGGAATCTTACATTTTGAGTGTTTAAATTGTGTTGTGGTCTTGCTTTAATAATCATCCTGGTATTTAAATATCATTATAGGTAATGGGTCATTTGAACAAAGCAACTGAAGATGACGATGACTTGATCATTAAAAACTCACTTCAAGAGCAATCATACGAGATCTCTCCGTATAAAGAATCAGATGATGAAGATGAAGATGAGGATGACATACCCAATAATAAGTTTATCCCTTCATGGGCAAGGTTTGTGACTATTTAAGTTTTTGGAACTCATTTGTTAACTAACTTCATGGCGCCCTCTCTCAATGAGATTTCCTGGGTTTTATACCCTTCATGATGTATGTGGGGCGTTAGTGATTCAAACTGGAAGAAGGAAAATGAATTAAATAACATAGTTAAAGACGGTATGTGGTTGGCACAAAGAACCACAATTGCGTAAACCCCATGTACCTGTTGACTGCAACTGTTTGCCTGGTGATATCTATTGCTTGATGACAGAAATTCATTTAAAGTTTTGGTTTATCTGTTTGCCTAAACACATTGAGTCTGTTTGCTTTCTGCAGTAAACATAGCCTGTCGTATCAGGTTTGTTCCCAGAAAATAGATCCGGAAACGATATTTCCTCGGGCAAGTTCTTGTGATTTAGAAGATGGTAACTCTTCTTAGAATTTATAAATCTGTATATATTAATTGTCACCAAACTAAGCACTATTTGCATTCTTTTGTAGTTCTCCTGCCTCGAAAGATTCAGTTATAGTAGCAAATCAATGAAAATGGATTCCAGAACGTAGAGATTCTACCATTTCATAGTACGGGATTTTATGTTGAGTAAAGGTATGCTGTCTCTTGAGACTATTTATACTTTTTTTGGTGAACAGACTATTTATACTTTGTACGCATGGAAAGCAGCATGTATTACCTTTTAATCCTTGGTTAGCGTAATTAGCAATTCTGAAGGTCAATAATTTGTTTTGATATTGTATCAGTTTGGATATTACCCGTAAATAATACTGCCATTTGCCTTGGCTCTACAATAGTCACATATTATGAGCTTGTAGCTGTGAATTTCTACACTAGTATATAGTAGTTAATGCTACATTAATAAGTAAGTTTAAGTTTAACTTTGACAATTGTCTCTTTAAATAGTAATTATTATAATGATATGTGAATGCATGATTTAATTATAGTATACTATACCCAGTTTATTTAGTTTTGTATTGGATTTAAGTTTTATTGCTGGGTTTCACTATTCTTTTCAAAACATGGAAAATAAGATCGCTTGTATGATTGATCAATTATTATTTTGGAATGAAAACAAATCTCAAAAATCGATAACAAAAATATGATTGCTTTTTGACGATTTTAGTGCGATTAAAATCAATTAAATAGTCGAAACAAGGGAAGAAGTGGGTGGATGTCTTCCGAAATCTGCCCGTCTCTTTAATATAAACACAACTTGGCCAATCCACTAAATTGGAGGGACCATTTGGGATAATGAAGTCTAAACAATTTATCTTGTGCTGATCTCTGAGCATTATTATTCTGTACTTGAAGCAGATTTTGTGAGAAATTATATTTGCATAGTATACCACCTTTACCTGTTGCGGGCTATGAGTTTTATTGTAGCTACATCATGCTTATAAATTTTTAACTGGATTTAAATAATTTCAAAATGGTCAAAATTTTATACTATGCACACGTCATAATTTTACATTATAAAAAGCTTCTAGCGAAGACCAAGAAAGAAGTTTATAATGTATTTTTATCTGATAATATAATTACTGTGTTTATTTGTTTACCCGTGGCAGATTTTTGAAGAGCTTGATTATGAATTAAGGTGTGGCGGTGAAGAAGATTTCTTGCATATCTTTTCCTCTGTTGAGCAAAATATCAAAGTTAGATCTTTCGATGCATCCTCAAATCTGCTGCTTCTGACAAGATCCCGCTTTTAGGAAATACGTGTCCTATTGTACAGTAAAATAATCAGAAATGTAGTAAGTATTCTTTTGCTATTATTCTTTTCTACTGTTCTAGTGAAGCAAAGCGCTTTATCTTTCAAAACGGTGAATCTTGGCTCGATCTGCATTTTAAGCTTCCGCTAAAATGAGCACGGTGGTTACAGAAACACAAGATCTCGTTCTCGTTGTCTAAGATCTGCTTTGAAGGTGTCATAATATAATCCTAAGGTACTATCGTTGAGTTATGATTTTACTTTAAATTTATAATATAACAGTATTTTATATTTAATCCAGTAACATGTACAATTATAATGTTCATTTGTTCTAAATTATTGGACTAAATAAAGTACATAAAAATTTCAATATAACCTCATCCTTGGCTCTCAGTTAGATGCTCCAAACATAACCATACTAGTTTCTTTTTAATTTTTGGTTTTAACCCTTCTTTATAGCTAACGTATTTTTTTAACTTCAATTAGTTAAGGAAGGATACTTTTCATGAGTTGGTTCTCATGTAAATGCTCAAACTCTTTAATATTACTCATGTGTTGGATGAGATAAAAGTATTTTTTAACAAATAATTGTGAGGTCCATGCGAGGTAATGTGATGAGAAGAGAGAAAAAAAAAAGAATCATATATATTTCTATATGTGTAGAGATAATTTTATCTCCAACAATATAAGAAATATAAAACTCATTTTATAAATACTTTAGACAAAAATAAAAATAATACTACACAGTGCATATCACGTGACTAATATGATACATTCTTATAAGCTATGTTGCTATGTATCATTGAATGTGAATCAAATAAGTTATATTAATAAAAATAAGTCAAAACAAGCTGAATTTTAACCTAAAAAATTAGGTATATGTAAAATATTTTAAGTCTAAATTGACTTATTAGTTTGATTCAAGCTAAATTATAGGCTTGACTTAGTTTATTTTTAAAAAATATAAAGTTTGATTTGACCTATTAAGCTTACCATGTTTTTAAAAGTGGCAACATGAGTAATATTAAAGAGTTTGAGCCCATGATGCATGAGTAATATAATTATTGTGGGCTGGCCCTAACTCATAGGACTTTGACCCGTGTGGATCTATATTATTGTGGACTTTTGGGCCCTGCGGGCTTTTTGGCCCTAACCCACTTGGGCTAGGGCTGGCCCGTTTTAAAAGCTCTAAGTTGCATATTACACTTTATATTTGTATATTTAAGTTGATAGAGTCACAATAAAAAATATTGATAATTTAATTATATTGTTTGAAATCAAAAACAAAATAATAACAAGGATGCGGAAGATTTAATTAAATTTTAAAATAAACAAAAAATATTCAATTACTCATGCATTACATAATCTCACTTAACAAAAAGAAAAGAAAAAAGAGAGAGAGCAAGAAATTGCTTGTGTTTATAGATCACTAATATAATACTATCTTATTCCCTAAAAACCAAATTAACAACTAAATTCATAGGAGGATGGCCAGAAAAGATAAAATAAAAAGCACAGGTGAAGCCAAGTTTTTTAAAATAGGTTTTTGATCTAACTTTTAAAAACTCATTTTGATAAGCCCAAACTTGTTTTAATTTTTAAAAGGACCCAGACCAAGTCAGGGCAAAGTTATAACTATTTATTAGAAAATTGATAAAGTTGATTCTTTTTATTGACTAATTTATCATACATGTATTTATATTCATCACAATTTTAATTATTACTTTTTTATTTAATAATTATAATTTTACTCTCTTTTTTTACTTTAAAAAGTCAAATTCAAATTCAAAATTGAGGTATTTGAGGCCCTTTATTTCTAAGGCTGCTGAACACCTTCATACATCCGTGGTCATCAATGCTTAACACCAACACACCCCTGAAATTATTTAAATAATCACTTCTCTGCTTCACATGTAAAATATGAGATTTTTCCGTTTATATATTCTTATTAATAATTATGAAATACTATATTATTTTCAATTTATTTATTACTTATAAATTTTTAAAAAAAATAATAAAACTACAATGTGATAGTAAGTTTGCTGTACAGGTTTACGACTGTATAGTTAGTAACATTATGGAAAAAGTTATTTGCAATGCGATACATCACAAAAAAAGAAAAGAAAAAAGTTAATTCACAAAGTTACATGGGTTAATAGTGAACTTTAAACTAAGTCTTACATTTAGGCATTTAAATTATGCTGCATTTTAATACCATATGCATGTTAACTAATCGACTCGAGATGAGAATGTTACAAGTTTTATTGAAGCTACATCATACTTAAATTTTTAACTGGATTTAAATCTTTTCAAAATGATTAAAATTTTATACTATGCACACGTCATAATTTTACATTATAAAAAGCTTCTAGCGAAGACCACAACAAGTTTATAATGTGTTTTTAACTGACAACAGAATTAATGGGGCTGATTTTTGAAGAGATTGATTAAGAATTAAGGTGCAGTTCTTAATCTGCAGCCGTGAAGTACATTTCTTTCATATCTTTTCATCTTTTGAGCAAAGAATCAAAATTGTCAACATGCGATGGCACGTGGCTAAAGAGTCGGCCCATACCACTAAAAAACGTGGGTTCAATTTCCTCGCTTTGAGACTCATGTTAGTGAATAAATTGTAAAGTTGATCCGTTTTGCGAACCCTAATAAATATGACTTGGTTTGAATTAGCTAAGGAACATTACTTTTCACGCTTTGGTTCTCAGGTAAATGCTCCAAATTCTAACGGTAATAATAATTATGATTCAAATGTACGAACAACGAATAAAGAAGAAACATTTGATAGTTAAAACAAAAATAAAAAATGAACAATGCTGTGATTGAATTGTATGTACAAAACTAATGAAATGAAAACTTCGATATGACCATAAAAAAAAAAAAAAAAAAAGAACAAGACATAGGTTTGGTGTAATAATAGATCCAAAGAGTTCTTCACCTTTACATCACGTAAATTTTAGAGGTTAGGCAGCTGAGGCCGTAGCGTCTTCTAAATAATATCAGACAAGAACTCGGGGTATCATTCTTATTAGAAATCTTTGCAACATATTTCGTCAAATGTATTTACTAGTAGTATTACTGATGTTCATCAAACTACTCAGTATTTCCCTCTTTTAACTCAAACCAAGGTATAAATAAGTCTGAAAATTCATTCCCGTACAATGAGATTCAGACCCATGCTAAGCTCAACAATACAAGATAACTAATTTTGGAACCTTTGCAATTGCAACCATAGACTACACATAGATTGGAGGCCACAAGATAACTGTTAACTTCGGCTGTTCCCTTAAATCCCCTCCTTCATATCCAAAGCTGACTCCGACTTCTCCCTTCGTACTTTACAACAGACTGAAACCAGCCATTAGCATCAGAGAAAGGTTCCTATGTCGTATAAAACAAATGGATGAATGATTACTGAGTCATATTTATCACCAAAGCTTTCCCTAAAACTCACTTGAAGATGGTTTAAGCAAGCAGGAAACAAAGGGAAACTCACGTTAGTCGGAGTAAATAAAAAGTAACATGTATTAGAAGTTCACCAAAAGTCTCCACAAGAACAGAAGCCATCCTTAAAGTGGTGAAAACGATTTGTATCTCGAACAATAATCTCCCTGCTTGTATAATTAGACACAATTTTCATAAAATTGTGGCAATCACCACAAATTCTGAGGTTTTTCATAATCCTTATTGGTATATCACTAGGCAAACACATCAATCCAAAGGTAATAGCAAGTTTCTCACTGTGGTGCCTCAAAAGCATCTGTTTTCTGCTCTCTTCCACATCGTGCAGGTCATGATTGATATCAACCTTGTAATTCAGTTTCTTCAACTCTTCCACCAAATTATCCAACTTAGCATATATCCTTTTGATTTGTGGATGATTTCTCTCTCCAACAGTAAATGAGTGAATCTTATTCTTAATTTCAATCCAACTTGTACCCCTCTCCTTCCTCAGTTCACTCTCTCTGAGAAGCTTCCTTGCTCTTGCAACTTCTTCCCACTTTTTATTTGCTGCATATATATTTGCTAACAATACGTGGTTTCCTGCATTGTTTGGTTCCAGTTCAAACAGATGCTTGGCTGCAATCTCAGCAAACTCAATATTGTCATGAATTCTACAAGAGGCTAACAGTGAACCCCACATAGAAATAGTAGCATCAAATGGCATTCCCTCTATCAAGTCATAAGCCTTGTGAACAAGTCCTGCTCGACCAAGAATATCAATCATACATGCATAGTGAAGGACACCGGGTGAAAGATTGTGCTGTCTGACCATGAGGTCAAAATACTTCTGTCCTTCTTCATGCAAACCCATATGACTACATGCATTTAGTACAGATACATATGTTACATCATTAGGAAAGAAGCCTCTCTGCTGCATTTTTTCAAATAAGATCATAGCCTCTAGTGCACGAGCATGTCTAGCAAACCCAGAAATCATTCCATTCCATAAAACAATGCTTCTCACCTCCACACCTTGGAATACAAGGTAAGCTTCGCTTATGCAGCCACATTTTGCATACATGTCTATAAGGGAGGAAGCAACATATATGTTTGAACCGAATCCAGACTTACATGACATGGAATGCACTTGCTTCCCTTCGATCAAAGTTGCCTGACCAGCACAAGCACTAACAGCAGATGATATCATAAATGGGTCCTGCTCAATACCCACCAACTGAGCATTGTGAAACAGCAGCAAGGCCTCCTCATGAAACCCGTTTTGCACAAATCCTGCAACCATTGAACTCCATGTTACTGCACTCTTTTCTGGCATACTCTCAAATATCCGAATCGCATCTTTTATTGAAGAGCACTTAGCATAGATATCGAGTAAAGCAGTTCCAACAAAACAATTTGAATCTATGGAAGCCTTAATCGAAAAGGCATGCAATTGCATGCACTCAAGTATTGCACAATTGAACGCACACGCACATAGAACACTAGAAATGGTAAACTCATTGAATGGGGTTCCCTCTCTTTGCATTTGAATGAAAAGTGTGAGAGCTTCCTGCTCCTCTGCATTTTGGGTAAGTGCTCCAATCATCGTGCTCCATGAAACTAAGCTTTTCACTGGCATTTCATTGAATTTTCTGCGAGCATAGTCAACTAAAGCACATTTAGAGTACATGTTGATCAGCATATTTGATGTTGATATGTCCATTTCAAAGCCAACACGAATAGTCTGAGCATGGCATGCCTTTCCTCCCATGGATGATCTTGTTTTTGCATATAACTGCAAAAGATAGTGCAAATTTGATATACGAGAAGCATCAGCATCCGTGCGAATGTGAACAACTTTTTTCAGCTCTAAGAGTTCTAGTTTGGCCTCAGAAATAACTGATAATTTCCTGAAACGGATGCCAGAACAATCACAGAATCTCTCACACCTTCTTAAGCTACTCATGTCATTGCAGAGAAGACAAAGGGAAACAATATGCTTTCAGCATCTGTTAAACTTCCTTAGAAGTCAAGCCAGTTTATTTTTAGGTGCTTCATAATTATACGGCCTGCATGTTTTGGTAGATTGGAGGAGCCGGAGATAATGCATTTGAGCTGAAGGCAGCAAATTCAAACTTCATACCACAAAAGCAAATTGTTTAAAGGTAAGCATTGTTAAAAAACACAAATCTACAAGACATTCTATGGAAAGTGAAAAGCAACAAATCTTAGTAGTTATTACAACTCTAACAAACCAGAACATAATGCATAGAAAGGAAGAGTAACACAAGAATAAGAGAAGATAAGCAATTCTATGAGATGCTAAACAAACATAATGTGGAGCACAAGGTTTCACTGCATTAAGGCTAAAATTAAATCGGCAAAGACCAACATAAACACAATGAATCATATAAAAGAATTTAACAATACAAAACAATAATCCATTTATTAATGTAAAATAATTAAAAATAAAATAATATGCAGTCTCGGAGCATGAACATGATTGGTTGGTTGAACCTCACAGTTACATTCATACCTTTTCGCTGTGTCTGAGCGAGTAGAAAAGCCAAACTAATCGATGGTCGCAGAGGCAAAAAGCGGTACACCATTGCAACGGTGAGCGCCAGAGCAGGATAACGAGGCCCAATCGCTGTTTGTTTTTCAGACCCTAGCTTTAGCTCAGGGCCATGCCATACCTTAGTTTTTTTTGTTTTTTTTTTTTCCCAGAGATTTAAGTGATAAAAATAAACTTTTAAGAATAAAATAAGGAAATGTCAAATCATAAAGAGCTTATGTATAAAATAAACAATTAATTAATAATTAAATTTTAATATTTTTTTGGTAAATAAAATTTAACGTTTTTTAATTTAAACTATAATTAAATAAGTTAAGTGAGAAAAATATTTGTTGATATAAAAGATACAATTTTGTGTCATTTTAAATGAAATAACTATGTTTTGTGCATATTTATTGATTTCTTATGTTATCTGTCTTTTACAATACCTTATCTTTCTCTCTTTTTTTATAATTTTGTGAAGAAGAAAGAATATAAAAGATCAATAAATATATATCAAAACACATTTATTTCACTTAAAATAATAAAGTTATTTTTTAAAATGATACGTACTTTTTCCTTAAAAAAAAAAAATCAAAAAGTTTAATTAAAAAAAGTAAAATTATATAAGGTAATTTCATTTCATTTTTGGAAGGGCCTGGACCCAAAAGAAACAGAGCAAGCTTTAAAAAAAGAATATAGTATGCAATATATCCATCTTTCTGGGGAGTCTTGTGGTTTGTGAAGGCAAGGATAGTGATCCCAAACCCTATCTGATTTTGGGCTTTTAGATAAGATTGGGCCTCTTAACTCAGAATTTAGATCCAAAATGAGAAATGAGTTCAAGCCCATATTTAGTTTAATTCCTTTAACCCAAAGGATTATATATATATATTAGTAAAGAAGCCAATCACTAATATGGCGGCTAAACAGAGTTCATATACACCTTTCAGAATGTTTGTTCTCTTTTGTACTTCATATCACAAATATTGACACTCTCCCTGCTATGTTCATGAACATGAGTAAAAGAAATCAAACTCAAAAACTATTATAAAATATGGGTGTACCTAAGAAAACTTTTTTTTATCTTAACTCATCATTGACATTCTCCATTTCTTCCATTTGATATAGAAAAGTATAAGGTTAAAGCAATGAATCACATATTTTATGCGCTCACTGAGATCATATAATTTTGTGCTAAACTGACAAATGGAAACAGGGAAAAGATATCTAAATATCACAAAAATACAAAGAAAGTGTGTGTGGTGTGTGGACCTCACATCCTCCTTTAAAGTTGAGAGTAGACAAATGAACCGGCCCATCAATATTCAACTCCCACACTAAATTGTCTTTGGTTGAATTCTCATTATAAGTCACTTGCAAGTTGCATTGAATTCCATTGAGCAAGTCTTTTGGTATGATCAACCATATCTTAACTAAAAGCTGAAAAAAAGCAACAAAATATGAGATACCCAAGCAATCATTCACCCATAAGAAGATCTCTCTCTCTCTTTCTCTCAACCTCAATCCCTTTTTTCTCATATGCCTCTCCTTTTGGGATGTACTTTATAGAAATGCAAAAATTAACAAGACAAATTGGCTGCAAGTTGCGGTGAGACTGATTATATATATATATATATCTTCAGTGACTTAATATTTTGTTTGATTTCTTGATAAGATCCTTTAAGTTGGTCCCACAACTTGACAACTTTGTCTTCACATGTTGCATGAGACCATAAAGAAATCTTGTACAATAAAGAAAGAAAAGGACTTGAAATTACAAGTAGGAGAATAAGCACAAGAAGAGGAAAGAGAAAATGCAGCAGGATATATAGCAATGGAACTTATTGAATTTCCATAACGCAAATCACATCACCAAGAGAAACTTGAAATAGACACGTTACATTAAGCAGAAGATGAAGGGTAAAACTATCAAAAGAGTCAACTAAAGTTTTCTCATGGACAATAGCATGTCCAATAAATTATTAAAATACCATTTTTTTATCCTTTCATTTGTTCATCAAAAAGGGTGAGGGGGAATGATTTTGAGCATTGAAATTCTCAATTTGTTCCTTGCCTTTTGACCCAGAATCCAAGTAGTGGAAACAACCAATTGCAATGGGAATTGGGAATCCATGTCCATTGACTGTTCCAGATGCTCTTCCAAACTGATCCAAAAACTAAAACAAGCATCCTGACTTAGTAAAACAGTGTTTCTTACTGAATGAAAATTCTAATGATCTTATCCCATTTATGGCATCTTATAAGATGAGAAACATTAAGTCAAGGATGCTGCTGACTCAAGTATAACCCAATATACCTGTATCTTTATTAGAAAAAAATTAGTTACAACTTCGATTGAAAAAAACTTGACATGCCAATTGAAATAGAAAAATGAACAAAAAAAAGCAAAAATGAGAGTCTTAACATGCCCAAACCCAACACTTCCAATTAGTAGTCCTCACATCAACCAAAAAGCCTCTTGATCTCTTCCAATAGCTAGCAACATGAATGGAATATTGATGTGGATTACTCATTGTATAATAGAATTGTCCTCTATTCTTTTAATGCAATGTTTAATTTCATTTATATCCTCACTTGGAATCTTTCCCTTTGTCCCTTTTCATTGTTGAAGTTACAGTATGATGGAATAGCAGACATGAATGCTGCTTCAAAATAAAAGATGCCACCGGCCAACATACATAAATGGGACCATAGAAAGAGAAATGAAGATGGGGGAGATGGAAAAAGTAATTAGGACCAAAAAAGAAACAAAAGGGGTAAGGCAACTCAGAAGAAAACAAATGGTGCAGCAGACAAAGAGTGTTCAATTAGGATGTTAAAGAAAAACATGGTGCCAACATATTGGCCCATAAATTTTTTTGTCCATATCCATCCTTTGTCAATTAGAGACCACTATCATCCAACTAGCAAATTTAGATAAGGAGTGGGCATGATGATGATTTGGTAGATTTCTATCACACTTTTTCTTTATACATATTTTTTAATTCAACAGTTTTGCTAGTTAATTGCCACTGTGAAACTTAATATTTAAGGTGACCGAAACAGGATTAAAAAGAAGCTATGTCTTGTCAATAATGACAAATTCATATTTATAAATTTATTTCATGGCCGGTAATTGATGTTGCGTGTGGAATAATTGGACAGAAGATTTAGTGGAACTTTTGGTGAATGAAACCAGCAGTGCCAATAGCTCATCTGGTTAATGATATGCATAACTCATTCAACTTCCTTTCTTGTTTATTCTTTTCATTCTTCAAGATTCTGGTTTGTAGCACAAACTGATTTAATTGAGAAATCTCAACACTATAATGGAAAGAGTCACATATCATTAACAATGTAGAAAGTTCAAATAGAAATGTGCCCAAAAGCTAAAAGCACCACCCTAGTAGTTGATATCTGCAGTGCCTACCTAGTGGCATTCTGTAATTTCAGCTAGTGCTTCACGTGACAGTTATTTTAATCTTTAAGTTATTCTTTCAATGATGATATTTTATAACAAAGTACTAAAGTAATATGATTCTTATTTTGAAAAAAAGTATTATTTTATGGTAGCTTAAAATTAATAAAAATATCAGCACATAAAAGTGGTAAGATTTTGGGATGTATGTACGTACCTGTCAAAAGACATATGAAGGGAGGAAAAAGTAAATAGAAAAATAGAAAAAAAAAAATGATTTGGTGAAAACATGTACCCAAGTGAATACATCAGATCTATTAAAAAAAATTCCGATTTTAGCTCGCACAATCCCTTATACGTCTTCATTACATTATTTTAATAAAATCTTTAGGTTTTGAAAAAAGTGATTAATGTTTCTTATACTGTAATTTTATCTCTACACATAGGAGTGTTCATTAATCAATCCAAACCGATTCAAACAGCGATGAACGAATCGAAAAATCAATAACCGAATATCCAAAAATCGAAAAAAAAAATCGCAAATTTTAATTGGATTGGATCGATTTTCGGATTGGTTTATGAAAACCGATCCAATATATTAATTCTCCACTACCTACTTGGGTCTTTTCTCAATCATAGCCCAAAAATTTCTAAACCCAAGATCCATTAACCCATCAACTAAACCCAAAAAAAAATCTAGTCACATCTCCTCAACAAAATTTCATTTGTGTAGAGCTTCATCTTTCATTGCCCCAAATTTTTTTTATAAAAAATTACAAAGCCAATATATACAAAAGATGTTATTTGCACAATAACCATAAAACAAACTTTAAGATTTTTCAAACACCGATCCAATCCAAACCGAAAAAAAATGGATTAGATCGGATTGGATTTTAATAAAAAATAAATCGAATGGATAATTACATGATCAGATCGAAGGGATTAGATCGGATGATTTTTGCTTCCAAAATTGATCCAATCCAGATCATAAACACCCTTACGTACACATACATAAAAATGTGTAGATCTTATTTTTCTTTTATTCACATAAATCCATATGAAACCCCATATACTTTTTCCCTTTTTGGGATAGGTTATTGTGCCTACTTCTATTTTACCTACTTTTGCCTACCCCTTTCGTTACCGTTCGATTACCATCTCATCCAACGATATATATTTGTGATATAAAATAAACTTTTTTTTCTCTTTCTTTCTTCTCACTTTCTCCCATACCTTTTTTCTCTCCTCTCCTTTCTCTCTTCCTCTACACCATACCTAATTTTTTTTCCCTTCTGCCGCCGTGGACCTCAATCTCCTGACAAACTGTTTGATTCTAATGATATTTTTAATCTTTATAAATTAATACGATTGAATCGATGACTAACAAAGAAGTTTTGATGTGATTCAAAGCGGCGGTCACAGAATCCTCCTTGTCTCTGCTTCAATATGTCGATCTGTTCTTCCACATGATAGATACTCTTATTTTCTAATAATTAATTGGCTATCTGTATCAACATAATTGCTGGAATGGCACCAATTAACCCTCTTTCCGAATTTTTCCAATATCAATTTTTTATTTATTTTGAATCTTTTTCAACTCTGCACTGATCTTTTGAATCACATTAAAACTTCTTTGTTAGTCATCGATTCAATCTTATTAATTTATAAAGTTTATGTTGTTCTTCAGATCTAAAAATTTGTTGTAATTTTTTAATCCATCGACACTGGTAGTTTGATATAAACTGATTCAGAAGGAGAAAATTTATATTACAATAATAAAAACAGAGACTAATGTATATTGACGATGATTTCAAATGATTCCCGTTCACCTGGGCAGGTATTAACGATAAAGGAAACAAAATAGGTATATGGCAGGAAAGAGAGAAAGGGGATGGGAGAAAGTGAGAAGAAAGAAAGAGAAAAAAAAAATTATTTTATATCAAAAATATGGATTGTTGGATGAGACGATAATCGAACGGTAACGAAAGGGATAGGCAAAAGTAGGTAAAATAGGAATATGCACAATAACCTATCCCATACTTTTATATGTATATAGGAAATAAATTTATCGAAAAAAATTAAACCCCTGAAAGAATCTGAATGATACTTATATCACTTCGGTGAAAAGGAATAAATTTCAAGAGAATTTTATCTAACTGCTGCTTCACAATTATAGACGTGATAATACTCCATTATAAAAATAACAAATTAATAAATAAATAATCAAGGCAAATTCAAAATAATAATAATTAAATCTATGTGGATCTGACAAGAACGTCTGATTTACTGCTTGCCATTACCTACAAGATGTGACAACACAATGAAAGATAAATAGACTTCATATTCTTCTCTATCAAATTAGATCTTGCTTTCGCTATCACTTTTGTGAGGACTCCAATCAGATTAGTTGTGAAGCAATGAATCGATTAGAATATTTTCAAAAAAAATTACATGTTGCTAATCCTTGGATTTTTCCATATTTTTAATTATTTTCACAATTTATGCTAATGATGAATGAATCAACACCAATTATTATATAATTGGATTTATGTAATACTTTCATATTTCTTCTTTTCAGGATGACTTCATGTCCACTTTATGTCATATTAATTGCCTTTTACCATTGAAATAGACACCCCTTGTCCTTAGACATAATGGTCCTTTAGATAAATTCCAAATGCCATTTATTTGGATGCCATTAACATCCCTAATTATGCTCACAAAGATAGCAAAAAGTAATCATTTTCATCTTGTGTTCTTTCACTTTAGTTGTCAAAAGTCAGAGAGTTGAAAGGACACATAAACGGAGATTTTTTCAAGGGGATAATATGAGCCAGAGAATTTACAAGAGAGATCACAACCTAAGCCGCCTTTTAACTATACAATTGGCCACTTTTACAAAAGTTGCAGCCTATTCTAATATTCTATTACATTTAATATGTGTATTCCACGTAATTCTCTCTCCCCACATTCTTTTTCGGTTGTTCCAAGTGACCATCCACCATCCAAAAACTGTTGAAATCATCCTGACTTAAATAAAATTAATAAACCAAAGATGATCTACACTTTGAAACTATGGTCCTCACTTTCTTTTGATTCCACGTGGATTTCACCATTCTTTTGACTAAGAGAACCATCTCCTTCAGCATCAAAACTAGCATGAACGCTGTAGAAGACATAGAAAAGTACTGCAACAGCCGAAAAGAATCCAAATCGAACATAGGATGGCCCATCAAGTGATCCCAGCAAAAACACATTTAGAAAGATTGATATGGAGGGTATCCAAGGCATGAGAGGGACACCCCAAAATTCTGGCTTCCGAGCTTGAGGGACCATGCAATGGAAAAGTTGTAATATTGCAACAGCAATCACACCACAAGCACTGAGCATCCCTGCCTTGGCCCTTCCTACGGGTACAAATTTCCAAATAAGGGTGAACATGATGGAGGTAAAGGAAAATGAGCAGAGGAAGGACAATGTAGGCCATGGATTGGTTGTCCCCATAGCCACATATCGTCTATAGATCACCGCATTTGCCACCATATAAAAGACAAATAGGGTGCCAATGGACACCAGATCGAGCAGGACATTGAGGTCAGTGAAAAGGGCAATTGCCGCTGTGAAGATCCCTGAAAAGGAGATTGTGTATGCGGGTATGAGAAAAAATGTGACCCCATTGAAAAGGGCAATGCACAATCATATTTTCATGCTACCACTCAAAATAGCCTCGGGAGAGGAAAAAGAGTTCAGATAGAAGAATATTAGAAGTCAAAATGCACCACAAAGCATATAACATAAAAATCGTGGAAATCCAGCATTGAAGCAAACTTTAATCAGAAACCTAAAGTGCTAAGGTCATGATCAGTCAATGATTCCAATGAAGAGGAATATATTAAATTAAATCATATCGAATGATGGGGTCAAACCAATAAAAACCACTAATATCTTCAATGCGAAATACTAATATTCTTTCTGATGAGTTGAAAAAGAAAACAGAGGGTGTCATATTCACAAGCCTACTTTACATCAGTGAGTGATTCAAATCTTTCGATCCTAAGCCATACAGCAATACGCTTAGCACAGTTGTCATAGTCCTAGTCAAGATACTATTCACCGAAGACGTGATTTTAAGCAACTACATGTAAAGGACGGGTAAGGCACATACCATACCCGGGGAAAGGGAAAGGGGGGGACCATACTACAATACAAAATGTAAGAAAACACGTCATAGGCACAGCTCCTTGAAAACATGTGACACCCATATGGAATAACCTTTTCGATCAAGCACTGTTTTGGTGTACGTTACTCAGTTTAATCTTTCTTCCACTCCCATCCCTTTTTTAAGAAGTGTTATTTTGCACAATGCCAATCAAACCCTTCTTCTGCATATAGCATTGAGTTTAATTGAATCTGCTTACCTAAAACCATTATAAAAAAGCAATAGAAACTCCTATCCAGAAAACCTACATGACAAGTTATCTCTTTTATTATATATATTTACAAATTTTGACAGAGTTCATTAATGTTACCAAAAAGAAATAAAAACAAATTGAAGAAAGAATCCATTTCCAGAAGACTCTGAAATCTTGAATTATATCCTCCATTCAGTGAGATAAAATAAACCAACCAACCACCAAATGACAGTGCATAATAATAAAGATAAGCCTCAATCACCTTCCTTATCAAGGTGGCAACGTGTCCAGAGACACTGCACTCATTCACATTAATCTTATCACACCCCCAACAACTCGGTGGATCACTAATCAGCAAAAAAGACTAAATTGTAATCACACAACCAAACCCGACAACAACTATTCACGCAGGATTGGCAAGAAAAGAAAACCCACAAAGAGGGGAGAGATTGAAAAAACAATCAAAGAAAGGAATATAAATAAATAAATAAATAACAACATAATCATGAGAGATAGATGAAAAGGGATACAAACGGACGATGATGATAAATGATAATTAGTGATGAATCCTACCAAGAAATGCGGAAGCATTGACAGGGGTGGAGGTTTTGGGATGAACCTTAGCAAACCAAGCGGGGACCACATTAGAGCGTCCGATGACACACATGTAACGAGCCTGACCCAACATTGCCACCAACAACGACGTCAATATCCCAAAACTGGCCCCCACCCCTATCACTCGAGACACCCATCCCCAACCGTCTGATTTTCCACTGAATGCCGCCGAAAACGGCGCTTCTGGATCGATCTGCGTGCATTGCAGCAGTTCAGTAAGTTCATCACAAATCAAATCTTATTATCATCTATCCGTACAAGTAATTAATTAAACAACTTTCCAACAATTAAAATTAAAAATAAATAAATTCACACAATTACAATTACAATTACAATTACCATATCATAAGGGAGAAGCTTCGACATGGACGCTGCCATCAGACAATAGAGAACGGTAACAATGAAAACCGATCCAGACACACCGACCGGAATATCCTTCACTGGATCCTTCACTTCTTCCGCCATAGTCGAAACGGCATCGTACCCAATGTAACTAAGATAAACCATTGCTGCACCGTTGAACACGCCCGAAGCCCCAAATGGAAAGAATCCAGATGGATTTTCCGGGTTACCCGGTTCGGTGAAATTTTTCCAATTCCCTCTCCAAAAACCTATCATTATCACAAATGCTATGAACAATATATGTAGCGCCGTTAATATCATATTCACCACCGAACTCTCCCTCGTGCTAAAAAAAAAAAAAAAAAAACACGTCATCATCAAATCAAAGGTAATGAAGAAGCTCCATTGTGAAGAGAAAACTACCAACCTGTAGCAGATAACTATTGTGATGAGTAAAACTACTGCGACGGCAACTATGTCTATCTGGTTGAAGCCGTTCGGAAGAAAAGACACCGTCAGCCTCCATTTCGCGGAGGAGATGCCGATTGTGGTGCCGAAATACGCCGTGAAGCTTCTGGCGACAGCCGCATTGGACATCACATAGTCCATCACGAGATTTGCACCCGTCAGAAATGCCGCGAACTCACCTGTGAATCAAAGTGACGTCAGCAACTTCTGAAATGAAACAGAGATTGAAAAATAAGCAAAAAAAAATGGTGAACAAACGAACCGAAGGTGACGCGAAGGTAGCTGAAGGCGCCGCCGGCGACCGGCATGTCGACGGCGAACTCAGTGTAGCAAAAGGCGGAGAGGAGTGCGCAGAAGCCGGCAATGGCGTACGATATTATAACGGCGGGGCCTGCATTTAGGCGGCTGGCGCGGCCGGTGGTGACGAAGACGCCGGCGCCGACCATTCCGCCGATTCCGAAGCCGACAAGGTCAAACCAGCGGAGGGTCTTGCGCATGCTTGAACCGGACCGGGCTCGAACCCGGCTCATCTCGTCGTAAGAGGTGGAGACGGAAACGGCTCGGCGAGCGAACCGGCTGGGAGTGTGAGAGAGAGCTTGCAGGTAGGCGCGTAGGCTTGAAAATGATGAGCCGTGGCTCGCCATTGCGCCGCTGCTAAGTTTAGAAATAAAAATAAAAAATAAAAAAAGTGTATGAGTCTTTCTGTCTGTGTGTCTCAGAGAGTTGTGTGCGTTATGGATGGGTTTGGATGAGAGCTTTTATAAGCTCTGCTCCCCAATACTGTTGAATACATATATCACTGAACTAATCGAGTGAGTATAAATGACAAAGGATAATAATGCTTTGCCTATATCCCATAAATAAATAAATATTATTATTATTACATCAATTTGTAATATATATATATATAGAGAAGATATTTTGACTACCAAAAGTTTTCACTACCACCTTACTACCTATCTAATCACCATTGGATTAACATTTTCTCTCTCTTCAAAAACTTTTTAACATTCTCTCTCTTTGATCCAATGGTGATTTGATAGGTAGTAAGGTGGTAGTGGACACTTTTGGTAGTCAAAATATCTCCTCATATATATTTATATATATATATATATATATATAAGATTTAATGCATGAAATGGATACCATGCTGAGGATAACCGAAAAGAATTTGATGCGTGAGTGTGGTTATTATGTTGATTTCCCAATCGGCAAATGTTAAATGACTTTATTATTTAATTAATTACTTTCTTTTGTGGTTTAGCTGTAAGTAAAAGGATTGTTAGGTTATGCACCTCTTCCACTCACTGGATTGTCGTTTTATGTTTCTTTCGGCTTTCTTTCTTTCTCTGTTTTTTTTTTTCCTTCCCAAGATTGTTAGGTTTCGTATATTATTAATATTTTCGGACGGTAAAGTTGGTCTGAGTTGACCTTCTTATGTTGGGGCTAAACGATTTTTATAATAATATTACTTTTAATGATTTTTTTTGTTTAAATTCAAATTCGAGACAAGAATGCAAGAAACGAACTCTCTTTTACAATTTCAACAAACATCTATTGTAATATAACTTAATTAACTCCTGTTGAGAAATTATTTTATTCTAATTAAGCTTAATTTGAAATTATCTAAACGTTTTGATTTCTTTTTCTAGGTCTACATTTTTGTTGAATTATGTGTTTATATATTTATTTCTTGAGAAAAGTATTTCTCCGGTCACCGAAAATAAAGTTATTTTCGGTGAGCTCAAAACAACGTTTAATTCTTTTGTATATCTATTGTAAATGACTGAAGAAATCATTTACCCTTATTTCTTTTGTATTTTTTTCCTTCGTGAAATTTGGCTACTCTATAAGTTCTAAATGTTTTAATTATTATATTTTTAAAAAAATCTTAATATATACATGAAGCTCGGGATATATGAAATTAGGTGATGGATCACTCTACAAAAGAGAGAGGAAAGAGTTGTTACAAAAGTAACCCATATAGGGTAAAGGAAAAGATGAAGTTATTTACAGCTGAAAATAAGAAAAGAAGAGAAAGGAGAAAGGGATGACGCATGAAATCCAAAGTGGTTGAAAAAAAAAAGATTATGAAGTAAAGAGAAGTGATCATAAAAGGAAGAAAGGTGTAGGAACACGACAATGGAGTATTATATGCAACGCTACGAAACGGATGGTGAGTAAAAGAGGACCTTGGATGAAGGGTCCGTAGAAGACCACCTGTGTTAATGCTTTCGCTTGAAATTGAAATTTAAAGTTGAAAGTTGAAACACCATGGCAGAGATTCAGGCCAACTCTTAATGGTGCCAAACTCTTCCTATGTACGCACATAGTTTTGACCATTACATTAACATTTTAAAATTCAAGAACGGTGAGTTTTTTCACAAAAGAATCTACCCCCTCTTTTTTATTGAGTTTTTATCTTTTAACATGTTTAATTCTACGTTAAGTATTTTAAATAAAAGATTCTTCGACATCTTTGTCATCGATTATATTACTTTATAAAAAAGTATGCATATTATTTTATACTATTAAGACCATTGTTCGTGAAACTAAAAGATATAAGTATTTGAAAATTGGGAATCTCGATAAACAGGTCTTAAAAAAAAAGGGGGAACAGGCAGAGGTAAAAGTTTGTTAATTGATATTTAATCAGGAAGTGGGGCATTCGACAAAAAAAAAAAAAAAAAAGTGAGATAAGAACCTTTTTAGAGAGGAGTGAGAGTGAAGATAAGGACGGTTTTGGAGTGATCGATCAGCGTCGGAGATTTTGTTCGAGGTTCAGTTGGAGGGGAGTGGATAATAAGAGAGTCCACGTATATTCATATTTTTTTTTAAAGTAGGTGAAAAAGTTTATATTGAGAGGAGACACATCAATCTCAATAAAACTTTATAATCAAATTAGATGTCAGCGGGTCCGTCATAAGTACGAGGGGAACTATTATTAATAGATCAAGTTACATTAATCAGAGATTTGTATTTGTCATTTAACATTTAACATGACACAACAAATTTTTTTACACACACAATATTTTGTGGGGTCTACACTTTTTGAAAAAAAAGAAATTACGGCACGCAAAACGAATCTCTATAACATTACACAATCACTTTTCTTACAACCTAACTCTTATAAAACCCTATCAATTATAGCAGTGAATTCCATATCATATTTCAATTTAAAACATTAAGATATTAAATTTATGAGTCCATTCATTTATATACACTTTACTTAGTCTATTATAAACAATGTGAAATATCCCAACAATGTGAAATCCAACTTTTGTAAGCTCATCTTCTGTCCTAGTATCCAGACCCAAAATATTCAATCCGCCTCCGGTCAATCACCAGGCTAGCTCAAGCCCAATCCGACCATGATAACACTATCAAACGGGTTCAGAAAAAGTCTGTGGTGGGAGACCACCATCAATGGATCAAGCTAGACCACAATATCAAGAGGGTCGTGTGATAATGGTATCAAAGTTGAGCTAGCCAGGTGATTAGTTGTTAGGATATTCAAGTGTGGTGGATATATGGGTCCTCCAACTTATATGGACTTCACTTAGTTCATTATCAACCAATGTGAGGGGACTATATAACACTTGAATATCCTAGCAACCAAATACCTAGCTAGCTCGAGCTCAACCCGATTATGATACCACTGTCAGGCAAGTCCAAGGAGAAGACAGTGGTGGTGACCACTACCAATGAGCTAAGGTTAACCAACCATATTAAGTGGATCCAACATCATGTCACAACCCAAAACCTTAAGGCTTTGGGTTCGTAGGTCTATCCACTTATGTCCACTTCACTTAGCTCATTACCAACCAACGTGGGACTCATCACACTTGAATATTCCAACAATTTACCCCTCAAGTGTGAAACCCAACATTATATGCTCCCCTTCATCCTAGTATCCCAGGGCCAAAGTACTCAACCCGCCTCTAGCTAATCATCAGATTAGCCCGAGCCCAACCCAGCTCTGATACCTCAGTCAGGCGGGTCCAGGTGGAGCCTGTGGCGAGGGACCACCACAAATGAGCTAAGTTAGACAAACCACATAAAGTGAGTCCACCACCATGTCACAACCCAAAATCTTAAGGCATTGGATTCATGTGTCCTCCCACTTATATGGACTTCACTTAGTTCATTACCAACCAATACGGGATTTATCACAGTTAAAATTTTAACAATTTCCCCCTCAAGTGTAAAACCCAAATTGGTATGTTCTCCCTTAACCGAGTACCCTAGGGCTAAAGTACTCAACTCGCCTCTAGCCAATTACCAAGTTAGCTCGAGCCTAACCTAGCTCTGATACCACTATCAAGAAAGTCCAGGAGGAGCCCGTGGTAGGGGATAACTACCAATGGGCTAAGGCCATACCACACCAAGTGGGTCCGACACCATGTCACAACCCAAAATCTTAAGGCATTGGGTTCATGGGTCCTCCCACTTATATACACTTCACTTAGTCCCCTTACCAACCAATGTGAGACTCATCACACTTGAATATTTCAACAATCTCCCCCTCAAGTATGAAACGCAACATTGGTATGCTCCCCCCTTAATCGACTACCCAGGCCTAAAGTACTCAACTTGCCTCTAGTCAATCACCAGGCTAGCCCCAAGCCCAACCCGATTTTGACATCATTGTCAGGTGGGCCCAATTTTAAGTGAAGCCCATCCAAGCTCTCTCTCTCGTTAAAAGCTCCTTCCTCCATATCCTTGAAAGCCTTGAGCATTTCCCCAATGGTTTCTGCAAACTCAAAAGCTTCCTCAAGCTTTGATTTTTCCTTTATTTTATGCTTCCTTGAGGTGGTTTTAGAGGGGTTTTCGATGAGGGTCTCCATGAATCAAAATGGGGTGAAGGAAAATTTGTTGGGTCTCGTGAGAATTTTGTTGCAACAATTAAGAGGTGCATAGGGTCTAGAAAGAAGAGGAGCCAAAGAACTTGTTTTGCGACGAGCAAAAAGAGATATTCATTTTCCACAATCTTATTATATTATATTTTTTCTTACACTTTAATTTCCAATTTATCGATGCTTCTTCTTTCATATTTTGGCTCACTCGATGGTTGGGAACGAGGAACAATAGCTTTAACAAGGTTATTTTAGATAAGAAAATTTTTCTAGGGAATCCAAGAATACCAACCACCCGGTGGTATTCATTCTTGGGGATCCTCTTCACAATTTTAAATCCTGATAATTTGATTTTCCAAAACTTTTTTCATAATCCTTATGTTAAAAGTGGCTAAATAGTATTCCCAATATCAGTTTTTCGAGAATCTAAAATTTATCTCTTTATCAAACGTTTCCTTATAGTTCAAGTTTAAATAATTTATTAAAAACTCTCAATTATTACTTTTTTATAAAATATTAAAAAATATATAATTTATGAATTTCTGACCATTGAATTATGAAATGCACCAACTGCTGTTTTCTAATTTCTACAAATGCGGGTGATTGCCAACTTTTCTCTGTTAAATATAACACCGTATTACACTCGTGGGCGAGTGACACTACTTATAAGTTATAATCTTTAGTATGTGTATTGTAATTGCATATTTTTAGAGGTGGTAATATGGGTTGAACTCGACGGGTCAACTCGCCAAAATGGGGTGGGTTGGGTTATATTTTTCAACCCATCAACCCACCTCAACCTGTCCCGCTTAGTTGTGGGTCAAAACGGGTTGGTGGTGGGTCAGGGTGGGTTGGCCTGCGGGTCAGTTTTTTTTTTTTACTAATAGGTAGTATTTTATTTGTTA